CAGGCAGACCTTGTGCAGCTGCCCTGCCGGTGCCCCTCACTCCCGACCCACAGCCCCTGCCAGCCCAGCCCTGGGCTCCCTCCCCAGCCCTACCGGTGCCCCCCACTCCCGACCCACAGCCCCTGCCAGCCCAGCACTGGGCTCCCTCCCCAGCCCTACTGGTGTCCCTCACTCCTGACCCACAGCCCCTGCCAGCCCAGCACTGGGAGCTGGGGTAGGTGGAGGTGACCCTCAGGGGAAGCCACATGTGTGTGTGTGTGTGTGTCCCGTATGTCCTAGTGTGTGTATGCGAGTGTGTGACCATGTGTGTATGTGTGTGTGTGTCAGCATCCGTGTGTGTGTGGATCCATGTTTGTGCATGTCTGTGTGTCCCTGTCTGTGTGCATCTGTGTGTGTGTCCGTGTGTCCTTGTGCCCGTGTGTCCATGTGTCCGTATGTCCCCGTGTCTGTGTGTATCCATGTCTGTGTCCGTGTCCGTGTGTCCGTGTCCCTGTGTCCGTGTGTCCGTGTCCATGTCCGTGTCTGTGTCCGTGTGTCCGTGTGTGTCCATGTCCGTGTGTGTCCGTGTCCGTGTGTCCGTGTGTCCGTGTCCGTGTGTCCGTGTGTGTGTGTGTGTCTGTGTCCGTGTCCGTGTGTCCGTGTGTCTGTGTCCATGTGTCCGTGTGTGTCCGTGTGTCCGTGTCCGTGTGTCCGTGTGTGTCCGTGTCCATGTCCGTGTCCGTGTGTCCGTGTGTCCATGTGTGTCCGTGTCCGTGTGTCCGTGTGTCCGGCCGTGGGGCATCCCAGGGGCCCTGCATGGGGGGGGAGGGGCCTGCCACCTGTGGAGTTGAATATAAATAAATATCTTATTAATATTCATGAGACTCGATTAATTATTCATCACCTTGGCCCCTTAGTAACGGCCAAGCCCCAGCCGGCCACTAGCAACGGCCTGTTCTTTCACCTCTGTCCCCTGAGCACAGTCAGGGCGAGGCCAGGGAAGGGCGCTTCAGTCTCCTATTGGCTAGTTTGTCCATCATTCACAGTGATTGACAGCCAAGGAGGGAGCGACTGTGGCTGTTCGGACTTTCATTGGCTGCTTGAGCTGTCACTATAATCACAGGGAGGTGTGTTGGATTCTCAGTCATTGATTGGTCGAACTGGATGTCAATTACTGGTAAGGCCGGCTGTCGTACTCCTTGTGCGTCTCATTGGACGAGCTATATTTCAATCTCACAGCTGGGTCGGGTTTTAATCAACCCTCTGGTGCCCATTGGTTGACCTGGCTATCAATCTTAAAATCTGACGGGTTCAGACGGGAGTCTCCTCCTCCCATTGGTTGTCCTTAGCGGGAGGGGTGGTGTTTCTCGGACCCCCGCTCCCCCATTGGCTGGTCCTGGGGAAGGAGGCGGGACATCCCCGCGGTCCCGGGCGGGCGCGCTGGGGGAGGAGGAAGCCGCCACCGACGCGGCAGCGCAGACGGGACCTGCCCTGGGCCGGAGCAGCCCAGCGACCGCTGCGGACGCCATGGAGGACGGAGTCTATGGTAGGGGCCTAAGGCTGTACCACTTTCAGAGGGGGGGCAGGGACACACCCATTCACTGCTGGCGAGGGGGGTGGAACCGTCCACTCCCAGGGGGCGGGGTTGGTCTGGGCTGAACCACTCCCTCCTTTGTGGGGTATGTGGGCTGTACCATTCTCTTGCTGGTGGGGAGGTGGCAGGGCTGTACCATCCCTCCCCTTGAAGGGGGTGTGTGTGGCCTGAACCATTCCACCCCAATGGGTATGTTGCCCTTTTCTCGTGTAGAGATGGGTTGTACCATTCCTCCCTAATGGGGGGGTAGGAGGCATTGAGGACAGGGTTGGGATGAACCATTTCCTTCCAGATGGGGAATGAGGAGAGGGTTGGGTTGTGCCATTCCTTCCCTTATGGGCGGGGGGCTGGGTTGAACCATTTCCTCCCCCATAGGGGAGCGGAGGGGAGTTGGGCAGAACCTTTTCCCTCCTTTGTAGGGGTGTGTGGGCTGTACCATTCTCTTGCTGATGGGGGAGCTGGCGGGGCTGTACCATTCCCTCCTTTAATAGGGACCGTGGTCAGAACCATTAGGGTTGGGGGAGTTGCTGTCCATAATGGAGACTAGGCTGCCTTATTGGGGGAGGTGGGAGGAAGGGGATGGGCTGAACCATTGATTCCCTATGAGGATGGGGGGTGTTGGACTCAACCATTATTGTCCACCCTCCCTTGCAGCTCCTCCCCTTTGACTCTCTGTTCTGGCCAATCAGAGGCAGGGGCCGGGTCCTCATTAGGGTTGGGGGAGTTGCTGTCCATAATGGAGACTAGGCTGCCTTATTGGGGGAGGTGGGAGGAAGGGGATGGGCTGAACCATTGATTCCCTATGAGGATGGGGGGTGTTGGACTCAACCATTATTGTCCACCCTCCCTTGCAGCTCCTCCCCTTTGACTCTCTGTTCTGGCCAATCAGAGGCAGGGGCCGGGTCCTTGGCAGGCCCCTCCCTCTGGCATGCTGCTGGCCCCGCCCCCCATGGCTCTGGGAGCTCCTGGGGGCAGGGGCTTTGTTCTGTGTCCTGCAGCCCCTGGCGCCGGGGCCCCGATCCAGGCCGGGGCTCCCCGCGGGCCGACAGGATCCAAGTGACAGACCCATGTGCAGCGGGGGCCCGAACTCCGAGTGAACAGTAGCCCGGAGCCGGGCTCCTGGGAAGCCCTGGGACGTCCCGGGGCAGTCAGCCCGCCCTGCGCTCGGGGCCTCAAAGCCAGGGCTACGGCCTGGAACGTGCCCAGATTCTGCACGTCAGCGACACTGCTCCGTGTA